TTTTTATTTGTCCATGGCTACAAATGCTAATATTCAGCTAAGCTGCTCTGAGACACCACTTGCATGCTGCAGGAGAAAAGCATAGGAGGAAAATAAAACCTCCAGTCAACATTTGGTAGGCTACTGGCAGCACAAAGTGAGAGTGCCCAAGTGACGCACCCAAGCCCCAAAATACTTGGTGCAAAACTTCAGAATCTTTAGTGAGAAGCCAAAGGGATGCTGCAAAATGGCCATAACAACAGGCTTAAAAAAAAATAAAAAAACAAAACCAAGAGGAAGTGTAAAAGTCACAACAGAAAGAAAAGAATGCATTGCTTTAACATCAGTGTAAGGTGAGAACATACAAGAATGCTTGTAAAGAAAGCTTTAAAATGAGTTTCATAATCTGCTGTGATTGAAGGAAAGGCCTCGTTCAAGACCATCGTTCATCTTGCACTTAATCGTAAGCACATGTTGGGGTTCCAGCCTGCAGCAAGGGGTTAATTCTCCTATTATTTCACAGGATTAGAACTACTTTTTTTTCCCCAGGAAATGTAGCATTATTGTGAAGCCCATCCAGACATGCTATTTCATAATTAATACTAAATAAAAAGTGAATTCTCTCCTTTGTCTAAATAGTTTGCTTTGGCTCAGCTAGGAGCGGCAATTAGCAAGACAGCCTCCCCGAACGTATTTGATCTGCTACAGAGCTTCCTGCTGTGTATCAGAACAACAAATCTGATTTCACACAATCCATGGGGTTTATGTTGGCTGGATGTGCTATAATTAAAATGATCTTTTTTTTTTTCCTGAGGGCTTTGTTTATATGCTTGTGGTTTTTTGTGGGGAGGCACGCACGTACCTAATTTAACAGTTTTGTTGATTTACACTTCTGCTCTTTACTGGTTCCCTTTGTAGTGTTCACTGTTTGTAGTTTGGTGCAGAAATTGGGACCTGTTACCATTTGTGTTATAGGTCCGTTTTATTAGCAGGAGTAGAGGAACTGTTCCCATGGAAACATTTCTGTGTTTCATGGTGTGCTTTTCCTGGGATTTTCAAGGTTGGGTAAGGTGGGCTCTGGGGTGCTCTGGGGCTTTCTAAATGGGCACATGCAGCAGTCTGTGAACACTTCCCTGTCAGCAGGGGGAGAAAAATAACGTAATTTTAGATTTTGTAAGAGAGGAAATACCCAGTCTAACACCTGAGAAAACTGAGCAGCTCAACAGCCCCATGCCACAGATTGATGTTCAGGCCAATTCCCACCACTCTGACAACAAACCGGATCCTATTTTGAAAGGCCACCTCAAAACTTGAGTGTTTTCCTTTCACTCTCTGACCTTTATGCTTAAGCCATGAGTGATGCTACGGTTTAGCAGGGCTCAGCACACTCACCTGAGCCAAGATGTCCTTGTGTCACTAGGGACTTTCAAAGCTTCTTGAAAAAAAAACAAACCACACCATAAAACCCCTCCTGCTCTCCAGCTGCAATGTTCAGGCCCAGGGAACACTACTGCTCATGGGCCAACCCTGTCCCCTGGCATTTATCAAGACCAATACTATAAAAATAAAAATAATCACATGTGAAAACATTAAACCACCTTACTTCTCACACAGCCTTTCTCCGAGTCCTTTAAGATTGCCATACGCACAGGTGAGTTGCGTAGCAAATGGGTTGTACCACTAGTCACGTAAACACTGCAGAAGATTCACCTGCGGCCTGGATCCTGGCAGGACAGGTCCCTGTCCCCATGCCCCCTCCCTTTGTCCTCTTTCTTTCCAGAGTCGGGGGATGGGTTCACAAGGTTATTTTTTCCTTTACTTTTTCATCTGAAGACTTACAAGTTATTTTAAAAAATTACTTCAACCTATTCACAGTAGTGGGGAAAAACCCACCGAAGAAACTTCAAACTTCAGGGCCACAGCATCGAAGAGAGAATTATAACAAATTCTTATTCAAGTGGAGAGTAATTATCATGTTCTGACAAACATATTAAATAATTCATTATTATTACTTTGGCATGTCTTTGTGAACCAGGTGTTTAGGAAGCTGTTTCAGATGGAAGCATGTAACGAAGTCCCTGGGGTCCTTCCCCACCAGCCAGTAGCATGAGAAGAACCACAAATGCTTGGACAGGGCTGGAGCTACCCAGAGCCTGGCTCCAGTACAGCCAGCAAAGACCTCATATCGATATCAGAAGATGCTATGGTTTTATTTATTTTTCATCATTCCCCATGAATATTTCTCAGTTTTCTAATTACTCCCATGGAAGTGTTTGAGCTTTCTCAGTTAAGAAGGATTCAAGTAAGGTTTATGTCTCTGGTCCATGTTATCTCTTAAGTTTTTAAAACATGGTAATATTTTTATTTACGTTAGACTATTTAAAACTTTATTTTCATTCACACTACCATTTTTGGGTTGTCTGACCCCCCACTAAAGTCAGCAGGAGTGCCCAGGAGCACTCCCCATGTAGTCTCACGCTCTTTCAGGAATTACTAAGCCTTCCCTTCCCCTCTGATCTTTTTGTAAAGTGGCCCCAGTATTTGGCTTTTCATAACAACTAAAGTTTCTCTTCCACATATTGAAAATCTGTCGAGTCAGCTGTTCTTACCTTCAGGTTTTTGGATGACCAGAGTCACAGAGCTAGTTGCTGGCTTGAGGACGGACGTTCGTGGCTGGGTTCCCTGTGTACATGGTTCACCTGAACCTGGAAAACACAAGTGTGGAGACATAAGGAGGTCTTGGCATCGCATACCTGGCAGCTGCATTTGCTGCTCTGTTCTGCAGGAATTCACAATAAAGGACAGTCTCATCAAGACTTCCCCCCCCCCGAAAGTGGGGAAAAAAGTGGCTGAGTCACTTTCTTCTATATCAAACCGGTGAGATCAGTATAAAGAATTCACACCACCCTGGGACTTATTTCAAAACGTATAAAGAATTAAACGAACCGGTGCCCTGGCGAGCGTGGTATTTGTTGGGGAGGTACCCGACAGCAACACGGAAAGCCTGTGGGGCATTTCGTGTTTGAGAGGTTCGGGCAGCACAAAGGAGCGCGGGGCCGGGTGCCGTCCCCATGCCGCAGAGGCTGTTTGGGCTGGCTGTGCTCAAAACATTAAAAAGGGCACACTGGCTTCATGCCGTGTTCATAAACACGTCCATCAGCTGCAACCTTCGGGGAACGGGCTCTACTAAAGCCATTCACTTGCTGACAAACAAACTGCCATTCTTTGCCTTCTAACCCTTCAGCAAAGCAGCTTTTCTCCACTCCAGAATGTAAAATCCACTCACTACATCCGCTACACGAGTGCTATTTAAAATTCACTTGCATAGTAAATTTTATAGCTCAATTCATGCTCAGCTCAGAAGCTGGGAATGGCCCCGTAACAACATGTGCAAACTTTCGACTGAAGCAGAATTATGCTAAAAACAATTGAACGAGGAGTCCATGAGGCTTGGCGCAATCACATTTTACTGAAAAACGCCTAAACGTGCAGGCAGAGAGCAAGACAGATGAGATGAAGGTCCGTAACTACTACAGCAATTTTTATTCATTAGCGCAGAGACGTATCAGCAGGCTACAGGACCCCTCAAGAGCACTGACCCTTTTCTCTGCACACTGCACACTTTCTCCTCTTCGTAAGGTGTATTTTTTAGGGTCCCCCCACAGGACTTATTAGCTTCAAGATACTCATTGTATGAAGTATTTTTCTTCCAGAAAATTTAGTGCAAGTTTTCTGCTCACTGGCACAAGCAGCAATAGGCAGCCCTTTTGCTGCCCTTTCCCCCAACACGCGGAGCCCGCGGGGAGACGAGGTGGGCACAGGAGGCCGCTGACACACAGTGGGACACAGCCAGCCTCCCCCAGTACCACAAACACGCCCGCGTCTCTTACCTGAGCGAAACGGCTCCGGGAGCTCCACATCGCCCTGTCCTCGCCTCAAAGCCACACCGAGCAAGAAGGGGGAAGGAGGGGCCCCTCACAGGTGCCCCGGAGCTGCCCTTGCAGCACAGCTGGGGACTTAATGCGTCGCACCTGGGGCACGCGGCTGGTGGCAACCTGGAGCTGCCACATGGCCCCCGCTGTCTGTCTATAACACATAGAGCAGCTACCTCAGTTAGCATAAAAGAAATAAGCAGGTCCACGTATCTGGGATTTAAGACACCTGGAGAGAAAGTGAACAAAAATCCACAACACGCAGCTAATTTCTCACCCAAGCAGGAAACATTTCAAACAGCTCTTTCAAAGCGAACTGCATGCGAGCCTGAGCACCTCGCGGCTTTGGTCATTAAAGGAGAGCAAACAGTGGTGAGATTCTACAATTTATTACCGTTGCTAAGAGGAACACAGATACTTGATACCCAATCGTATGCGGAACTGTAAAAAAATAGTTTTAATACAGTATCAAAATTTACACAAGTGTAGTGTCAAAAGACCAGTGTCCCTCAGATTAGCCCCTGCACAAACGTACTGCAGGCACAAGGACATGTTTAACATTTTTTCATACATATATATAGATATATAGGAATACAACAATTGAAGTTTAACTATGCAAACAATATGTATGGGAGAAAACAACACGTAAAGATAACAGACAACTGTTTGGGCTGGGTAATATATAAGAAATAATGCAGGAGTGCAACGTTTCAAAATGGAAGGCCAGATTCTGCATTTCCAACTCAAGGAGACGGAGTGAACAGGAGTTTTGCCCTAGAAAGCAATGCTGGATCAGAGGCCCTACGTCAAATGGTACCAAGTAAAAATATCAACAGAAACCAATATAATTACTGCTGTAAATTAACACACCTTTTCTGAAGACAGTTAGCAGATTTACATCATACTCCTATATAACAAAAGATTGTACAGCAACCGAGCTACATCCCACTGCAAATAGCCCACGAATACAGCACGTTGCAAGCTCAGAGAAAACAGAGGTTCTGACTTCGGCTCAAATCTTAGTAACCAAGAACAAACCAGAAACCCAGGAATTGTTGCATTCCTATTTTTTTTTTTTTTTAACTTTTATTAGTCTTTTTGATGCTCAACTATGGTGAAAAGTTAAGCAACAGCATTCAGTCACAAGCCTGTTGCACATTCATACATGAAACTATCATTGCTTTTAGATATACACAAAATACCTATCATTGCAATTCAATACACACAACTAGTGTCATACACAGAGATAAAAATAAACTAAGCACATCTAGGGCGCCGTCTGGTCAAATCTCAGGCAATCTGAACAAGAGCTTTCTGCCTCATAATAATGAAAGACATGCTCTGAGTATAATAAAACCTTTTTCTTTGAAAGAATGCTACAGTGGCAAGAAAAGCTTTTTATAATGCAGTGCAATCTTTTAGATCCTTATAGACTCTTGTTAAATAAACCAGTGTGTCTCTAAATTAAACAGTAGAAATTAGCATCCTGACAATTGGAAAATACTTTCAAAAAAAAAAAACTCTGATGGAAATTCTGATTCGAGACCTGTAATAGTGATACCTAAGTATGCTGTTCATTAAAGGGCTGCGAACATCGTACACGTCTTCAGAAGATGTGCATCAAAGAGAATCGAAAAGAAAGCTCTCTTTACTTTCATTTAGAAAGAAATTGTGTTTCACTACAAGTACTGTAGTTATGCTACACTACTGGCTGGTTAGGAGACTTTACGGTCTTTTAGCACCTCCAAAGGCAGGTATTCTACCAAAGCAAAAAAATCGTCTGGAAATCGCCTAAGCACCATTAACTTTACAGACTGAAGTGTGAGTTACCAAGAAGTGACTTTCTCAAAACTGTGGAGACCAAAGGCACAGTTTATCAACGTCTCTCCAGTCTGATGAAAAACCTCTGTTAAATCCAGTGGAAAATTCATTCAGACTTACTAGAGATTCACCGTAACTAACCAAAATAAAACTTATTTCATGTAACTCCTGCAGAATCCCAATTATCTTTTAGTTAGGATGGAAATACCTCAGTGCTTCTAAATGTGGTGTGTTGAAGTGACGATGCGGCGGCAGCATTTCATTAGCCAGTATACCGAAACAGCAATATTCGGGGGACACTGACAACACGGCTCCTCCGAAAGACCTCTGTGCAGAGTCTCTACTGGTTTCCAATGAAGTCTCTTGCAATGCATACAGACACCCCGTCGTCAGCTGGGAAGTCGCTGTGGACACAGTCAGTTCTTTCTCTCTTATGGGCAGCTCAAACTCTTCAGAGAGAGGACTTGCTCAGGGCCTTTTACATAGGTCCTTTGTACTGATTTCCTGACAAATGTTGTCTAATTCCAGGGCACGACCCTGCAGCATCTCCAAGTTTCCTCCACACAACCTAAAGGCAGGGATGGAAAGAGATCTCATTATCACCAGTTAAGGTGTACTGGCGTTCATACAGACATGCATCTGGCAACACCACACGTTCATTAAGCAGACCATGCAGCACAGGTAAGGACAGAGGGGAAGGACACACAACAAGAGAAGAGAATAGTCTCAAGGGATACAACATTCCTTCTGAACACAGAAAGCACATGCTTCTAGGTAAAAATGATTAAAAACAGGGACAAATGAACTAGCACGTGCATCACCAGGATATTTTGTGCTTCAGATACAAGACTGAGGACATTTACAGGCCTCAACTGAAACTTCACTCTACTATTTCCCAAACCGCACCTCTTGCAGACACAATTCCAAAGCACGAAGCTCAGACCAGAGGAGTCTAAACATTTCCAGTTTACAAAGCACAGAGCAGTTCTCCCCGTTTTCAAAGAATTTACGTGTTCTCTTAAAATCAAGCAAGGCATTAAAAGTGTTTGTTTTATTTAATTTCTTCTTCCTTGAGATCAGAAGAATTGTGCATGTAATCACTGTTCTAGACATGCTTGTGTGTTTTGCTGAACCAGAGCGAAATCTACAATTTAGTCAGTGAGCAATTTTTTTCTTAGTGTGGACTATAGGTTATAAAGGTTTCCTTCCTCATACTCACATCTACTCCCATTCATGATTGCATAACATCCATGTTACAATTATGGAATTAAAAACGCAGAGAAGTCATACCAAAAAAAAATTAGGATAGTATTTTATAATGATTTATAAAAAGATCGACTGATTATAAGCAGGAGAATCAGTATCTTGTGTCCTATCACCAGGCGTCTCTTCCAGGGGCCACCAGAAACAAGAGTGGTGATTACCATCATACTGTGTATTGCAGTGTAAGATTATTTCTGTTTAATAATAATCAACTAGCAACCAACTGAAGTATAACTGCTACTAAATCACTCATTAATCTCCGGAGCAATAGCAATATGACTGTCGAGAAAGGCAAAAACTGTTTTCCATTGTCATTATTTATTATTTGTATTTTAACAGTGCCTAAAGCCCAGGAGTGAACAGATTGCATTAGCTGGAACTGAATAAACACAAAGCAGCTGGATCCTGGGAAGTCAACACCCTGAAAAGACAACACCAGCCCCAGTTCCTACAGCTGATGAGCAAAGGCAGAACAACCCCAAGGTCCTACTGTTATTCTGTGCAAGCGATGGGAAAATAATGCAGTTCCTCTGAGCCTTTGCTGAAGAAAACCTGAGTAAAAGCGTGAAAAATAGAAACACTCCAAGACTGGAAGCAGTAAGACTACAGTCTTACTACACAGGGCCAAACAAATTGGAGTCCTTTAAAGGGAACTGTCTTTAATACTAATGGGTGGGCATAACCCAAACCCTGCAAACTTTCCATATGACCAGAATCTTGCAGCCTGAAATGAGAAGGAAAACAGGTGGAATCATGTTATCATCATAAAAATATGCATGTGTTTTAGCTATGTTTGCTGTATTGTGAAACACTGTGCCATGGTGAAAGCATGGAAAATGGGTTTTCAGTGAAACCTCCCAAATGAGCTGTCCATGGCTGAGCCATCAGAAATGGCGGAGGGCTGGATTTCATGAGACAGGCATTTCTTTCCAACGTTTGGTTGCTGATGTTCCTAACTTCATATTACCAAGAAGTAAGACCTCTTGGATAGCTTTTGTGAGAAGGCACATTGTACATATAATTTCAACAATTTTTCTGGTCAATAAACATTAGACAACATTTACCAAGCAGCTAATGCTGACACAATAATAAACTAGAAGGTGACGCTTCCCAAAATCCTGTATTTCCAGCTGAACAAATGACCCCTGATTGCTAGGAAGGGACAAACGCATACAAGACAGCCCTGGAAAGCCAATATGCTAAGCAGAATTGACAAGATGGGGTCAAAAGGAATACTCATGCCATTTTTATGGGTGGGAAATGAAGAAATCTTTATCAGCAACCACTTCTGCTTGTGCATACAGTCCAACAGATACCTGGGTCTCAAAGGCATCACAGTAATTTTATTTGCCTCCTTTCCAGAAACACGGGATGATATAGGCTAAGTTTCTGCAGATTTATCACCAAACTCTCCTTTTGTGCTGGCATATGTACAGTTCTTTGCACAGTCATGACAGCCGTACATACCGCTACCTTCTGTACACGTATTTGTTTGGCCCTCTGCATTGTATGTGCATTTTGGATTTGCAGGTAGGGTTGCTTCCTTCTCAGTTCACTAGTTCAAGGCTGACTTGCCACAAGCAGCACTAATGGAATTACTTTGCATTTACAAGCACTCAAGAGAAAATGTAATACTTAAGCATTCCTGAATGTGTTTTTAATAGTTATGACAGAGTAAAAAGCCCAGTACCAAAAACTTCACCCAAAATTTCAGCAGAAACCTTGACTGAATAATGGACAGCTACGAGGTTCACAATGAAATTATGGCGATTCATTTCTAGCTTACTTCCAGCACACAGGAGTGAAAGGACGGAGAAATCTCCCTGGAAGCCAGGCAGAAACCTGCACCCTAACTGCAGACGAGAGCAGCTACGTCACCTGCTGGCTGTGGTAGCATTCGAGGCCCATGGTACTTCATGTGCAGCATGAAATACTCGGGGAGATCTCTGGGGTCCCCAACCCCTCTTGCCCAGCTACCCCACCAATCCCATATGGCTTATCCCATCTTGCCTTTGGCTCCCAGGCTGCCAGCCCAAGCGAGCATGCTGCAGCCCTGTGAACAAAACTTACCGGTAGCCTGAGGAAAATCATGAAGAACACCCCTCCAGGCTTAATCCAAACATTCCTCTGCTTTGAAATTACCTCCGTGCTCACTAATGATAAACTACCTCTAAACCTGCTGCTACATATTGCTACGTTCTCCTAAGACGATGCAAGAATATAAATACAAAGCAAAAACATTCCCAAATACGTTGTTGATGAGGTGGTACCAATACCATATGCACATCCTGAGGAGAGGATTCCCACGTCCACTATCTTAATAAAATATCAGTATGATCATATCACACCATAAAGTTCCTACAACATGGATTCTACATCCAAATTGCATTTTGGTACCAATCAAGACTATGCACCAAAATTACAGAGCCCAAAATGAAACTTGTCATCGTTCCACTGTTTTCACAGGCAAAATGATGCCGTGGCAAATATTTCATGTAAAACACCCACAGTGCATAAAGCTGGAGCAAAACAGTGAGCTACAAACTGGAAGGAACTGCAATGAGAGTGCAAAAGAAAAGAAACGTTATAATTAATTTATCACAAATCCACTGTACTTTTAACATGGACTGGATGAATGTAAGAAAAAGTAAAACCAGAAAGGAAATAACCAACTATTTTAAAAGTATAATAATATATCAATAGTCAAATCAGACATAGATTATAAAAGTCAGAAGAAAAGGTAGCATTTCAATGCCAGCAGCAGAGCTTTGAATGGCTGGGGAACAGAGAGACAAGGCAGAATACAAGCATATATTTGGGATTTACAAAAATGAATTGATAATGTCAAATTTAGTATATTAGCATTTTAGAAGTGGCACTACTTACATCATGACAACTTTTATGGATTACTATTAAATATGTATTAGTTAGAAACTGCTTTTTTATCCATAAATTGCCAAGGAATAGTGTAGGCAGGAAAATACATAGGTGCCACTGTACAGATGGGGAAAGCGAGGCTGCCAGACTTCTTCACACTTGCCAAATTTTATTCTTACGAAGGATAAATTCAGGTCAGCTGAGTCATACAGTACTTCATCCCAGATATATTATCACACGTAGATTCTTCTGATCAATACTAACCAACACGTTAAAATTATAGTGCTCCTAATAAAACAGTAATTGCATTACAGAAACAGTAATTGACTTAATTTCCATATGAAATCTTCAAGGGCATATTGTCAGCATTTAAACAAAAACTACTTTCATCTTCAGGTGTTTCTAGGCTTAATATGGAATGTAAGATTAAACACCTTAAACTTATACTGCACATTTCTCCAGCCACAGCTTTTTGTGTCTCACTAAAGTAGCGAGACTCTTAAGAGTCTTAAGAGTCTTTAACAGCCTGCTGATTTGTATTTTCCTGAGCTTCCAAGACAAGGGTATGTTTAAAAAAAAAAGGGAAATTTTATTTTACAAATTTGTTTTGCAGCCACAAATAAGAGCAGTAGTATATTTAAGCTTTCATGGGTCCTTCCTGAGTATGGGCACACATACATAACTGACCAATTGCATTTAAAGATAATTAGCTAAATTGCAGTGCTCTGGATTTCAGGGCAGGAGGGATCATTAAATCTTCTTGCCTGACCTCCTGGGTACCACGGAACACTTAGTCTTCTGCAGCAACTCCTATACTTAGCCTCAGACCTTGTCTTCAATTAAAAGCATACCTCAATTTAATTTGCAGATGGCATAGTGGCGTTTCCAGTAGGTGACACTGAACTCAGGATAGGAAAACCCCATGCAAGTTTCACAGGTAAGCCTGTGCCCTTGGTTATTCAGGCAGTCAGACGAGATAACAATCATCGTTCCATGAATATAAACCCTGGCCTGCAAAGCAAACCCATGTGGAATATGCACGCCTCCATGCACACGCATGCAGTTTGGTCATATACAGCCTGCAAGAAGAAACACACGCATCCTGCCACGTGAAATAACTACTTATATATCCCTAGTGACACCACTTGCACATGGGGGAATAATCCCATAACCACTGGCAGGGTGGGGAAGATCGCCGAGGCGTGGGGACACACACATGGCATTTTCTTCTTTCAACCACCCTGCGTGATGGATCGGGTCATGGAAGAGCCTTTATCAGACCAGCTGCATGGCAAAGCTCTTCTCCCTCTTCCACCACTGTCTCCACCAGTGGGAGATTCACAGGCAATTTTTTTTTTTTTTTTTTAAAGTCTCCTCATTACTCTGGAAAAAACCAGCACTATTTTTGGCAATGATCTCCCTCCGTTT